CTCTCTCTCTCCCGCCCCCTCCCCTTACCTTACTCTCTTCATCGACGTCCGCTTCCTGCACCTACCCTTTAAACACAGGTTTGAGACGCGTGTACGGGCGACACTTAATTCTGCTCTTGAATTATTCATACAACATCGTTTTAGGCGCTTTGTGCTCCGAATTTATCGCCATAGCAACAGCACCACCCCAAACTCTCGTTTGAATGCAGTCATCAGCTAGGTTTCCGTCGTTTCTACAGCTTGTACGTGTCCCTTGTTGTAGTTGGCGGGTGCTCTGGTTTGGTTTGCTTCTTCTGTCCTATCAAACATCTATCGTCCTTATCTCCCCTTCTTCTTTTTACGTTTGTTACTCTCTTGTAACACCTCTAATCTTCTGGCACTCATATTATGACCTCATGCAGTTGCGAGCGCCGTAAAACATCTATTTAAAAAAAAACAAGCTAGTTCTCAGACCAGTGGGTGGGTCGGGGGCAACCTCCAGCAGATCCTACTTTTTTTCTTTTCCTCTGTTGTTTCCGTCTACATAATATGTATTATTTTACTTTTTTCCCCGTGCACCACAGAATTCTACACTTTAAGTTTAGAATTCTGTGCCGTGCACTTATTGTGTAGATGTACTTTCCTTTGTCCACACGAAACAAAAGATTTCGAGTCCAAAAATTCTTGAGTAGATCTAGCATGGTAAGATGGTATATTATTTCATATATTATTATATCAGAGGTGCGGATGGCGTTGTTTGGATGGCATGTTTTGGTTGATCCTTTCAACAATGGTCAGCCTTGATGTGAAAACTGATTTTTAAAATTATTTTTAATAGTGTTCGTCTCCGATTGAACCCATCCAAAGGCGCAGCTTGTGACTCAGGCGGGTATGACAACGCATAATGTTTTAAAAAATTAAAGTTGAATAACAAAGACTTTTGTGATAATGCAACATGTTAAATCGCAAACCATTGTCACATGCCATGCTCATGCAGTCTAGTATGGTGCCATACGTAGGCTCTATGAGTGCTGCCGTTACTTATGTCTTATATTACGGTATTACTGCAATAGTAAATATGTAGTGGCGCGTACTCTTCCGTGACTTCTAATGATTGTAATTGTGCAGTGTATTGATCAACACGTTTACTTTTTCCCCCGGATTATGGGTCACGAACCAGATTACTCAGACAAATTAGCGCTTCAGAAATAGCATGGAAATGTCGATAACACACACACTCACACACGCGCACGCACGCACACAC